CTGGTCTTTTGGAGCTGAACGCGGTGTTGTACCGTCTGAATGCATCTACATCGGTGGGTAAATAGATAAAAGGTATCGATCAAGCTTCTCACCATCTACTGGAACCACTCTGTTTCGAGCTGGTTTGGGAGGTGGAATTGGTGGTAGGCGTCTTGGCAGTACCACTTCGCCACTCATAGGAGAGTCATGAGACGTCGCTGGCCGCGGTGAGGTTTCGGTCTGCAACGGGACTTTGTTGGACCTCATAGGCCGCTACACAAAGGCAGCTTCTAAGCAAATCCGGACGTTTGGGGACCTTACGTAGTAATTTTAGGGCCCTAAAGCACTACTTAAGCAGCAGCTCAGAAGGTGCACTCACGGCTGAGGTATTCGCATCCAAACTGAGCGTCAGCATTGTAGTAACGGACGACTTGCCTCAATAACCCATCAGTTTCGCGTGATCCTGGCGCGACAGCATGCGAAAACGAGGCAAGTCGTCCATTAATACGCTTGGGTCTATTTTGGACGGCGACATCTCAGCAGTGAGCGAAGCATTCGCGCTGCCGCCTGACAGTGTCTTAGTTAGGGCCCCAAAATTCCTTTCCATGTGACATTCCCGTAGACCAGATTTGCCTGGATGCTGCCTTTGATCCACTTGGTGCGCTTGATTCACTTCATCTATTCGCTATTTGTCAGATCACCGAACTGACCAATAGCGAAGTGGCTGTCCACTTGATCCACTTGTTTCGCTTCGCTATTGGTCAGTTCACTGATTTGACTAATGGCGAAGTGGTTGAAGTGGATGAAGTGGGTTAAAGGCAGTGTCCAGTCAAACCTGGGCATATGGGTTTTTTGCCTGGAAACTGAGGAGGAGGTTCCAGCTAAGGAACTGCCCAAACCGCAGCGCAAATCATTCATTCACGGTTGAGAAATCCGTCCCCAAACACTCTGCGGCTGCGCCGTGACCGTACACTTTGCATGGATCCCAGCGCGAACGTAATGTTAAAGGAGTGAAGTCGTTTTCGGGTTACGGTCACGGCGCAGGCGTAGGGTTTTCGGGGACGGATTCCTCAGCCGTGAATGAACTATTTGCGCTGCCTCTTGAGCATTGTCTTAGTTAGGACCCTCCATCACTCTACAGGCAAAAACCCATGCGCCTATACCTGGACACTGCCTTTAAGGTACGCGCCACACTTGCTCCTTTTAATCATTTGATCTCTTCGCTGTTAATCCAATAAGTGAACTTACCATTAGCGAAGTGGATCAAGGCGAACATCCACTTCCTTATGGGTCAGTTCACTGTTTTGACCAATAGCGAAGCGGATGAAGTGAATCAAGTATGGCGCGTGCTTAGTGGCGCTTACCACACGGCAAAATTTTTCCCGTCAAAATAAAGCGTAAAAGAACTCACTGGCGACTGAGTGTCAGTGGCAGATGGTTGGGCTGAGCCTGGTGATGCAGGCTTAGAGCTTGGCTCTGCTTCATTCGCTGCCCTATCCGAATGCATGGATGAGCGTTCTCCTTGGACAGGCGTAGAGGGTTGCTCATGTTGGACATCTCCGTTACCAGAAACAGCTGGGTATCTGCAAAAACATATTTGGTGGAGCAAAATCAGAAAGGTTGCGGGGCTTACTGCTGCAGTCCAGCAATTTCGCTATTTCTCTTCTCATGTTCTTGCTGCATCAATCGTAATCGTCGCTCATCTCGTTCTGTTTGTTGACGAATTTTTAGGGCCAGCTCAGCAGCATGAACGCCTTCGGAAAGAAAGACATAGTGCTCGATAATCTGTAAAGTTATTCGGATAATAATTTTCTGGAGATGTGGCTACCTACTCCCATTTATTCTAGGCCTACGAACATTTTAAATTCATATTAGAAAATCTCTTAATGGCGTGGCTAACGCTGCTTCATTAGAAAA